CCGGGCTCCTGGCTGGCCCGCTCTCCCTCTCTCTGCTCGCTCTCTGCCTGCAGCAGCGAGCCTACCTCCCTCTCCTGCTGCCGACTTTCATGCACTGAACATGCAAGGCTGAGTTTTTCTGTCAGCCTAACCGCATCCGGGCTCTATTAAAGTTCCTGGCGTGGGATAAACAATGCAACTGTCGCGTGCAGCAGTCTGAAAATAATTGGATTAGCTAAAACATATCAACTAAATAGAGACAGTCCTGCCCAGGCAGTCAGAGTGAATGTCACCCTGGAAAAAAAAAAAAAAAAAAAAAACCCTGAAAACTGATCTCATGGTCGCTGGGCTCCCAGAGCTCTTGCACGAAGATTTTTAAAGCGGGGTTTTGCCAGCTCTGTCTCGAGACTGCTCATCTCGTCCATAAAAGACAAGTGATTTGTGCCACTTCTACAGGGAGGGCACGGGCAAGGGACGGAATGAATGAGACAGTCACCACCCTCCCCAAACGGACACCCTCCCCACCACCCAAGGAGACACAGCAATCTTCACAAAATCATCTCTAAAAATATAAGTAAACTTCATCTCAGAGAACCTCGAATTCTCTGATTCTACTGCTTCGGTTAGAAAGAAAATTCGTGGTGGAGCATTTCGTTGTTTAAAGCAAGAGTATTTTGTGTGGGTTTTTTGTTTGTTTGTTTGTTTGTTTGTTTGTTTTTTCATGCAAGTGTCTACACCGAGAGAAAAAAACCGCGCTGTCAGCCAAGGTGTGCTTTCTTCATCTTCAGGGAGGATGAGCAGGGGAAACAGACACACACACCTGGGGAGCTTTTGCAGCCCTTCCTACCTCCTCTGGCTTCAGATCAATCGAGAAATATGTCCTAAGATGCCTTCCTGCCTCTACCTGGGCTGTCAGCTCTAGACGATGCTGCAGGTAACCGGCCCCGGTGACTTTTGCTTTTCAGGCGGCTGCTTCCCAGGGCAGAGCCCACCTCGCTCTCTCCCTGAGGTCACAGCCCCGAGCCCCCTTTGCCACGCAGAGACCACGTGGACTGCTTTTGCCAGGGCCAAGTCGCCCACAGAAAATACAGACCCACGCTCTGTACACACGGCTGTCTGAGGGGCTGTCCTCTACGGACTGCGTGACCCCGGCTCAGCTGGGCCGGAGGCACAGTCAGCGCGACTGGGAGGTCTGGAAGGGTCAGGGTAGGGACCTGTGTTGTTTAGGTTCCAGGAGGTTTCGGTTTAGCGTTAAACACGAAAGAGTTATTCCCTCGCCTTCCGTCTGGGCTTGGAAACTGACTAAAGGTTCCTGGCAGAGCCCAGAAGGCCCAGCAGGCGGGAGGGAGAGGGTCTGTGTTTGTGTTTTCTCTTTCCTCCCCCGGCTCTTTGGGGGGTTAAATTAGATGCCACTGGAAGGAGAGGGGACACAGCCCATGCTTTCCCGCATCTGAAATCACATCTCAGGGAGGGCCGGAGCACCGAGCGCCCAGGTCCCCGCGGGGCCAGCCGGCGGGGATGGAGGCCAAGGCGGAGGGGGAGGGGAGACGGCCCCCCGGGGCGCGCAGGCGCCTACCTGTGCTGGATCTCGCCTTGGGCCTGGACTTGCACCCGAAGCCGGTGGGGGAGCCCCCCAGCAGGCTGCTGGGGGGGAAGAGTCCGGAGCTGTATTCCGGGACGTAGGGCGGGTAGGTGGTGATGGGGTGGTGGGCGGAGGCCGCCGCCCCGCCCAAGGTGGTCATGCTGGCCCTCGAGTGCGTGGACTCCAGCTTCATGCTGTCGGCCAGCGGCACCTGGTACTTGATGCACTCCTTCTCGTCCTGCCGGCCCGAGCCGGCCGAGCCCGGCGTGGACAGCGACGGGTCCGGGGAGACGTCCTTCGGCGGGGTGGGCGGGAAGGTGAAGAGGTGCGGGCTGGAGTGGCCGGCCGACAGGGAGGAGGACGAGGCCGGCGGGTAGACGGAGAGCGGCCCCGGGGAGCCGTGGTGGATGGACGTCTTGGAGAAGGGGCTGAGGTTCCAAGGCGAGGCGGTGTGGTGGCTGCCCAGGGCTTTGCCGCCGTCCAGCCAGGGCAGGGACCCGTGCAGCAGAGGCGGGCGGCACACCTGGCTCCCTGCGGCGAGGGGCGGCGGAGAGAAAGGGGGGTGAGAGCAGCCCGCGGCCCTCCGACCCACCTGGGCGGTCTTCCTCCCACCCCGGCCTCTCTGTCAGGAAAATGCCAAAAGCAGGGGGACCTGGGTGCAGGCCCGCTCCCTCTAATCCAGGCGGGGCCGCGAGCACCTTGTCCCGCACACACTTCACCCCCGTCTCCCACACCAATGTCCCATCCAAGCCCGCAGAACGAAGGGCCTGTGTCTGGCACCCAGGAGGTGCTGCCATGGGGTGGCTTATTGGCCTCTCCAGATACACTTTCTAAATCACATCCCCTGAGGTCCCCCTCCAGAACCTGACTTGATTTATTGGTACCCTTCAATGGCCCCACGACCCCCGCCCCACACCTAATCCCAGCCAGCCTGATAAGAGGCCCTGCTGTGAATGGTGAGGCCTGAAGGGCTGAGCCTGGCCGCCCATGAGCAATGCCAGGAAGAGCCACCACCAGAGACACCAGCCTCCCAAGCCCAGGGCAAGAAGGGCGGCGGGGGGTGGGGGTGTGGGGGGTGCTTTGGAGGGGTAGAGTAACCCTACTTCAGGCTGGCTCATAATCGGCAAGGCCTGACATGGGATCTGCAGGGAAATTTTAATCGCTCAGACTGTGGGAGAAAGTTTACAGGGCCGGACGCACCCTGGGATGGCCCTGCCACCCTCCCAAATCCTACAGAAGAAAATAAAATAAGCCCCAGGGGCCCTCAAAGCTGTGATTCTGCCAGTGCGACATGTGAATTTTCACCTGAGCCTGAGACACGGAACTCCAGTTCGTGTGTCTGTCCCACTCACACACGGGTTAAAGGCAGCCGAACCCCAGACCAGGGAGTCCACACACCCTGAGAGGGGTCGATTTAAACTGCAAGTTCAAATCCACACACTTATTGATCTTTTAATCCAGTACCTGCCTCAGCATTTGCCGGTCTGTTTAACCATTAAGAACAATACTGAAACTAAAATCTTAAGAGGGAGGAAGGGGAGGAGAGTGAAGGGGAAGGAGAGCTCTGTGAACACCGAGGGTCAAGATTCATATTATGCAGGAAGTAGTATAGTAAATAATATTAGGTCTGCATCCACCCCGTTTCCACTTAACTGCCGATCTGCACAAAACCAGCGCAAAGGGCGCCCGAGCCGCAGAAACAATTGTTGGAACCCGGTGACAGCAGGGCAGAGGACGCCTGCTGCCTGCTGCCTGCTGGAGGGACTCTGTCATCCGCGCCAAGTAGAGGGACTGGGGCAGACCTCAGGTGGTGGGGGCACTGAGGGAGCCTCACGTTTTCTCTGCCTGAAACTCTGTTGCTATTTCTTCTTCCTCAGGAGCACACACACAGCTGGGGAGCCTTAGAGCTTATGCGCCTAACTGCACGGGGCTGGGCTTCTTGGAATGTTTCCGAATTCTCCCCAACTTTTCAAGGTGGAAGAGAAAGAAAAAAAAAAAAAAAGGACAGGCCACTGGCATGGCCCCTCCAGAACAAGGAGCCCTGGCGGACTCTCGGCTTCCTTTGGGAGCCCGGCGGCTCCAAAGTCGCGCAGGCCGCGAGGAGAGGGTGAGGCGACCTGAAAGCAAAGCCGCAGGAAAATTCTGTGCAGCCGGGAACGGAGGAAACCGCCTGTGTCTTAACCTTAGGACATTGGTCTTGCCACCCAAACGCCTTCGAGCACTAGAATGCCATTCCTGGGAGCCAAGCGGCAGCAGGCCTGCCTACACAGCAAATGCACCAGCTCTGGGGAGAGGTCAAAATCAGGGGTGTGAATAGAGACGTCTCTCGGGCCTTCCTGGAAAAGTGTGGCAGAAGCAGGCTCGCTGGCAGTAGCCCCCGAGAAAGAACTAAGGGGAAACCGGGGGAGCGAGGCCCTTTGCAGGAACC